TTTGGTTTGGTTTGGTTTTTTTTCCCTGAGGAGTAGTTTATTGTTGTGCCCTGTGGAATCCGTGGGATCAATCAGGGCCCATCATTCCTTTGAACTCTTGGACAATAAATCTGTGTTGCACTATTTTTGATATTGAATCATATAGCTGTTTAGGCAGCTCTGTGAAACAATACTACTGCTGACCTCAATGGCAAAGTCATCCTTTTTCTCTTTGTTAATATAACCTTGGATTTGTCATGTTGAAGGCAAATGCAGCTTATACTGTGTCCTTAAGTGTGACTATAGATTTACAATCTTCCCCTCAGCCCCTTCTCAGTGTATAACTTAGTGGTACATCCTCGCCTGGTACTTAAAAAGCTGTACAGCACTGCAGTGGGGTAACACTGTATTTTTAGGGTTGAAAGTCTAATGTAAGTTATTTTAAATCCTTCACCCTTAGAGTTTTAGTCTGCCCTTAGGTGTTTAGTATTTGCATAACTCCACTCGAATGTTTTTTGGTTCACAGTAATTTTCAATAAATGTTTACATGCACTGGGTGAAGTGGGAGAAGAACCTCATGGATATGTTTACCACTTTGTATTCTCTGTTGTTTGGGTATTATTGTTGTTGTGAGCCTTGCAGAACGTTCACATATTGTTCTGAAGATTAAAGTTTAAGTTGGCTGTTTGAATAGTTCTGAAAACTTGTTGAATTATAGAACGATGTATGTCTGACTGTGCTCCTAAACCTCCTACTTCATGAATACCATGGTTTTCTGAGTGAGCACCACATGCTTTTTTCATATTTGTAAGCTTCCACCACAGCACCTGGCAGTGGGAGAGGTGCACTGTGTTCTATGGTGCAGTTAGTAGCTCCTCATCACTGCTTGTTCAATAATTGACTGCTAAAGTTGACTCTTCCTGTAAGACTGCTCTGGAAGCATTGGTTTCTTCCTCAAATGACTACAGTTACAGCATCTTACCTGAGGATCAGATTTTTTTTACCATGTTTGGCAGATAAAACTGCTTCTTAGTTGGCAGATAAAATGAGAATGATTCTGGAATTTGTCCAGCATCTCCTCAAGAGAAGAGCAAAATAGCAATATCAGACTTTACTCCCTGTTTTTATTTAGTTGCCATCTGTCACAGAAGTAAAAACTTCTTCATCCCTCAGCAAATTCCTAAGGTGATAGGTTGCCTGATTTACCCTTGCAAGGGGTAATGTAAGGAATATAGATCATTTCGCCCTACTCTCAAGGGGATGAAGTTACCCCACAGCTGGTACTATTTATTCACTTTCCATTTATTAAAGCTTTTACACTGGCTGGCAGTCAAGAAGTAGAGTTTAGATTTGGTACAACTCCTACATAATCACTCTGGCAGTTTCAAGGGAGAGGAAATTTTTATTATAGGGGGAAAGGGGGAGATTCAAATTAGTTACTTTAACATTCAGAAGAGATACCCAGAAAGAGAGCAAGGCACTTCAAGTTGAGCATATTATGAGCTAATAATCTAGTGGAGAATTCTCTGGAGGACTGCAATAATTTCCTATATTTAGAAATTTTCTATAAATAAGCTGCAAAAGCCTATGGAAGCAGTGCAGTAGTCCTTCAGCCACAGCACTCTCCCCACAGCAGTATGCTGGACATCCAAAACATTTCACAGTAATGTCAGCAAGACACAAATATACATGGGAAACATCAAGCATGCAAACTCCTACACGTAAGTTGTCTGTAGATCTGCACTTCAGTGCAGGCCCCTTTGAACACAGTTTGCATGTAGCTTTTACCTCAAATTGAGCAAAAACCTCAATGAGTATGATTGAAATCAGTCCAGTGAAGGTACAGTAAGCTGCTTTACTTTAACAGATAATGTTCCCTGTTTAATTCCTGTATTCGTTTTATATACCTGCAGAAAGCCAACCAAGTGAGACAAAATCCCATAGAAAGGCAGGTTCAAGAGTCGTCTAAGCTGTTTGAGGGCTGATAGCTCCACACAATACTTGATGTTAGCCCGTAGTTTTCTTGTCTCGTATACTCAGGCAGGGAATATTCTATAACTTTGTGCAGCTCATTGCGAATGCTGTGGCTTAAAAACTGATGCCTGCCAGGGTCACCAATCAGCACTTCAGTCTGGTGAATCCTGATGCACTTCTGCAGCCAGTGATGCAGACCATCAGCAAGCTGTTCATCATAAAACATATCTCCTAGAACTATGAGGTCCCAGTTGCCAGCCTCTGAATTGATGATGTTCTTAATGGTGATGGGGAAGGGGTTCAGGTGGTTCAGTTCACAGTTCAAGATCATTGCCATTCCTGCAACTGAAGAAAAGTCATAGGAAAATTAAAATTACATTTCAGGGGTCTGCCAGTCAGCCCCCTTACATATTTCTGTGCCACACCTTTCAATTTTGTCTCTCAAATGTTGTTGTTCATCCTATCTAGGGGGGCTTCCACAGTTTTTATTATGAGTCAAAATCTAGCATGAAGTGATGAAATTTTATCCTCGTTACACAATGACACAGAGAATAAGTATTCCTAGAATGGATACCAATGGAAACCAATCATGGAATTGAAGTAGAATATAATAACTACCTTAATCTATGGATATACATCCTTCCTAACTAATGAGTAATTAAATTATGAATAAACTGTATTCATAAGTCAATTATGGAAAGACAAAGTCCAGAGAAAAAAGGCAAAATCTAGGCCCTGATGTACATGAAAGTACAGGAAAATACTATGGTCCTACAGAGAAGCCAACTTGCTGCTTGTGCTTGGAGTTCAAATCCAAACCAGCAGTGATGGTGTATGAGCAACACTTGACAGAAACTTTCCTGTTTGTTCTAAGGAGCTATACCTGGGCCAAGCTTCCAATACTGGCAAAACCCATTCTTCTTTTTAGCCTTTTTAGGATTCTGTTTGGGACTTGAATTTCTCCCAAATGGAGCGAAGAAAAGTCTGTGTTAAAGGTGCATTAAAAATTATTATCTTTACACAGAGATGAAAAGAAAAGTCTTACTAGGGTCAATGTCATTGGCAAGGACTTGGGATGCACCACTCATCACAGCAGCTATTGCTGTTGCCCCACATCCACTTCCAAGATCCAGAACTGATCGCCCTTTAACCACATGTGGATTATCTAAAATATACCTGAAAAAGAAAAGCTGTTAAAGCAGTGAACAAGATCATGCAAATTTCTCAGGTTTACATCTACACTGCATAAGAGTTTCTTGCCAAACATGTAATGAAGTGTGGTACCTAACACTATTCCACATGTGCAGTTGCCATGAAACTCCTTATTTGTGTCAGATGATATAAAAATCAAGAACCATAGTTTTTCTGCTTTACTCCTTCCCCACCCACAATCAAAAATTCAGCCAAGTAAGCAACATTTATGTCAATCAGCTCCTTCTCTGACAGGTGAGCTTACCTGTTAAGTAGACATAAACTAGTAAGTAGACACTTTTAGGTAACATCAGAATGCATGAGAAATAGTAGAGTAAGGATTTGTAGAAATTAAAAGCAATCTGACTGAACAAACACGATATATTTACAGTGAATATGCTGCCCACCCATCAATCTGAAACACTGCTTATGCAACTGTTTGGAAGAAGGGAAATTTCTCCTCCTTCTTTTCCTGAGCCATGCAGATAGAGATGCAAATACTTTTGAGACTGCTTAGTGTTGTTCCAGAATAGCAATGAGAAAAAGAATAGAGCTGTGGTGAGCAGAAAGGGTATCTTCATCTAACTGACACCTGCCAAGAGAAATCCTGAAAAACCATTAGGCTGCAAGTGGAGAACTGACAGAAGGCAAGTAGCAGTTATTGTTAAATACTATGAATCATATTACAACCATTGTAGAGGGTTCAGAACTTGAACAGCTGCCTTGAAATTCAATTGGCTGCAAAGGAGAAAGCCCCGAGTGTCAGGGAGAAGCACTCTGGGTAAAATGAATTACTTCAAACTGCCATAATTTTACTACCAATTTCCATAGCTTCTTTTGAAGTAGAAACAAGAAAGGATTCTACATTTGTGTTATTTTCTGACAGGGAAAGTGATGGCTGACTCTTCACAGAGGGCTACAGGTAAACACAGCTTTTGCAGGGAGATTCCAGTGCAGATAATTAACAGAAATTTAAGACTGGTGTACACTGGGAACAGATGGATGAAAATGTCTGGACCTGGAAGCACCAGCAGGGATGGCACCAAGAGGCCTAGTAAGCTTGTCAAATGCAGGACATTTGTGTCGAGGCTCAGCAGCTCAGATGTTTAACAGCATTCCCCTAAGGCCATCACTCCCCTAAGGACAGCCCCTAGTTTACCATCAGGACCAAGGACAGGTGTGGGATCTCCACAGAAGTGCTGTGTTTCCCCTTTCTAGGGCCCCACTTGGATTTGCCATGACTTTGCATTAGTAATTTGTGTAAGGCATGATGTGGCCCTAATGGTGCCTTGTTTCCAGATAAATGATTACTGAGTTACTACTGCTGATTGTGGTGACTCAGGACAGCTGGATGCTGCTGTATCCCCTGGTACAGTGCACACAGTATCTCTGCTCTCCTGGGTTAACGAGGAATATTGGATTACACCAAGAGTAGCAGCTTGAAACAGGAGACTCCTGATGCTGTGAAAACACCAACTGTGAAAGGAGGACAGTTATGGAGGCAATCATGTTTTTGTGCTCCTTTTTACTCTTCAAAATCATGCAACTGATTTCTGACATTTCTTAATACATCAAACCAGTGCATAAACAGACAATAAAGTAATTAAATGCCAGATAATTATTATTGCTACCCAAATATCTGAACATACAAATCATATAATAACAAATGAAAAAATTAACTAATCTACTTTATATACCCCATGTTTAGGAGCACTCTAGTTCATCTACATGGTAGGCTAATCAACTCATAATTTAACAGTAAGACTCATCTTTTACCTGGTCAAAACTGCCTTCTTACTTATGCTTTCTTGCAGAAAAATATTAACGCCCCAATTCAGATTCTTCCCTTTCATCTATGTGGGGACTCTCTGACAGCTTGTTCTCTGCTGTAAAAATTAAGATTTTTTTTCTGCTGTTTAAGTGATATATTTGATTTTACAAAATAAAAGAACTCGTAACTAGTTCTTGAGAATCAGGAGCATTAAAGACATTTTGACAGACAGCGGCCAAAATCAAAATGTGGCTTCTGATGTGACTAAAAGCCACAATGAGTTGTGGCAATAAGGCTGCTGAAATTCTAGATGAGGAGAGTGATTCAAGGTAACCAGCACTCCCAAGTGCATCAGCATTAAACTACTTTTTTCAACAGACCAGAGGCACATCCACACTCGTGTCTGTCTCCAAGAAAAAACCCACACACTTTGTGACAAAATAGCAATCTTCTTGTTGGGAGTAATAGAATTAAACACCTCACTAGGTTTGGGTGGCAACTGCACAGCCCTTCCACAGATCCAAATTCAGCCCCCTTGTCAGGACATGCATGGCCAGTGAATATAACAAATTTCTACTTAAAAGACACAAGTTATTTTACACAGCAGGTGCTGGAACTCGCTGCCAGTCAGCAGAGATTGGGACACTCCAGTATAAGCAGAGAGGAGGATGGATAATGCACCCATAATAGGCAAACAGACATCACGAGGAATTGCCACAAACAAAGCCAAGTCTGACATCCTAGGACACTGGACTTACTGGCTGTGGTGAATTGTGCCGCATACCTGGAAAGGGCTTGGCCTCCTGGCCAGTAAATTGCCCAGAAGGGGTCCCCATAAGGCCACAGGTCAGGTTTTTCTCTCCAGAATCTACAGCGAGGGGTGAGGAGGCGCAGACGGATCTCTGGTGTGAGATGCCCGCTGTTGGTGACCTCGGTGTTCTCCTCCAAAAACGCTCTCACCTCGGGGTCCAGAGACTTGCCTGTGCTCCAATGGCAGCAGCGCTCCCAGCACAGAGCGGGGCCTCCCCTCCTGCTTCTCCACACCTTGGCAAGGGTGTTCTGCCTGCCCCAGAGGAACAGCCGCTTCCAGCCACGGAAGGCCATGCTTCCCCAAGGACAACAGCCTTCCCCAGGACAGCTCGAAGCACAGCTTATCTGCAGTAAGTGAAGAGGCACAAAGCTTGAAACAAACTCATAGTATGTGGGTTTCATAGTGATGGATGACAATTCCAGAAAAGAGAAAAATGCTTCGTAATTGATGTTTTTTCAGTGACTTCAAGGCTTTGCACCACCAGGGACTTCAAGAAGAAGAGGTCCCTGTGTTCTTGTGCCTTTCCTCTGCCCAGTCTTAAGTCTGAAAGAAGTGGTATTTGAGCAAGAAGCTACTAAGAGACCCATTCACAAGAGTATTCTAAACTTACCCAGTGAGAAACAACAGTTAGTGGGACAGTGGATTGAGCTAAAAATTAAATGTGCAACCTTTTAACATCTCTCTCCCTCTGCCCTGAAGATATACAAACAGCAATCTACTCCCATTTAGGGTTCTTCCACTGAATCTTCAGATTTTGCGGGAAGACTCTGACATTGCAGGGCCTGTGGACATAGCAATGGTTATCAGTAGGCTGTTTGAAGAGACACCATTAATTACCAGTTTTATAATCGTGATGAATCTTTAATACAAAAGCATCTTTAATGATGAATCTTTAAAACAAAAGCAAGCAATTAAAGGATTTCCTCTCGCTCCCTAGACTTTATCAATCTGCCAGTTCAAAAATTGATTAAAATGAAAGAAAAAAAAACCCAACAAAACTAATCTTAACCAGAATAGTCCCAATTTGTTGCATTTCAGTCTGTATTTTAAAGGACTGGTTAGTCTTATGGTGCAATAGTCTCATGTGGATGCTGTCAGCTGCAGAAGAAAGCAGACCTCCAACCCTGCAGCCCACTCTGACAAACTATATAAACATACTCCAAGCTGTCTGAAGAGAGAAACTGAATCCAACACATTTAAATTAAGTTTTTAAAAGGTGATACATTCAGACTGGATGGCCTCACACCACTCAAGGTGTAAGTACACTTCACAGAAGCAGTGAAGGAGAACAGAGGATTAGCATGTCAGAGTTTAGATTCATTTAAGAATCAAGAGAATGGGGAGTAGAGAGGCACATCACTGCATTGAGAGGCAAAGGAAGAGCCTCTCAGCACTTCATCACCAAAATTTCCTCACCCACCTTCTCTTGCAGACCCTGGGCCTTTCCTATGCTGATCCTGTGAGTACACTAGCAAGAAGTGGCCTGAAGGGAGAGGAAATGTTTTCCAGCCTTCCTGCTTAGATCTCCTTCACCCATCCATTAGTATTTCCATATCCTTTTTCCTTCCTCACCTTGCTCTCTAATTTCTTTTCAATAACTCAGACTTCCTTGCTTCAGGGCACAGTTTTTGAACCTCCCCTGAAACTGACAACCTGGGAAGCATTTCAGGCCTATGCTTCCACAAGAGCAAGACTTCAAGCACAAACAAACAAGAAACTGAAGTCATTGTTTTGCAATTGTTTTCTCTCTCCTGAAGTGGTTTTCAGAAACCAGCAGAATGATGCATGAAGAAAAACAACTTTCATCCCAGCCCGACAATTTTTCACAAGAGAAGAATCACAGACTTCTCCATCTAATAGCTGTGCAGGTTGTCCTTAAAATTAGACAAAGGGAGAACGGGAAGGATATGACAATGAAACAGTCTTACCACTTTGCAATTCATTAGTTTCTCTTTATTTGTGTGTATCTTAAGAAAAAAAATTCATACATGTTTAGCAGTATTTTTGTTGTGTGCTTGACTCTGCTTTAAGAACTGGCTTTAGTTTCATCACTTACTAAAACGTTAAGCTGTAAATTCACACTTTGCTATTTAGGCTGATACTCCCACTAAATCTCTGTTTAAATCATTGGCTAGGGGCTTTATGTTTCTATTACAAATAAATACACACAATCAAACATTTTTCATTTTTCCATACTGGAGAATGCCATTCAGCAGAGTCCATGTAATTAATGAATGCAATTAGCAGATGCCTTCCTTCTTGAAGGCAGAGCTCTGTAATCTTCATCTGTCTAAGGGAAGCATGATGTTAACTGCAATCAATTGGAGAGATAAATCTTGTCAGCAAATGCTGTATACTGGCTTTTCTCCACGAATTGCTGCAAATTAGCAGGGCTGGGATTCTGTAGCTTTTATTTGCCTGTCAAGATGGTTACTCTCCTGAAATTAATCATTGGTGCAGAAACACCTGCCAAGAGCTCAGCGCTCAAGATGCCAAACTGAGCTTAAGTGCTTAGTGAGGGAAGGCATCAGGATGGACATCCCTGTGTTTGACACTCCTGGCCCATCCATCTTACAGGGAATAAAACCAGGAGGAATAGCAGAATGGATATCCCCGCATTTGACACTACTGGCCTTCCTCTCTTACGATAAACCAGTGGGCAAGTAAAACTTGGACAAGAAGACAAAACGTAGCAAAACGCATAAGAAAAACCTCACCTCCCCCCAAAAAGCACCCCGAACCCCCAAACCAAACCCCAATTTATATGCAATTTAAGCTTTTTTTTTTTTTTTTTTTTTTTTCAAGGCAGCAAGAGCCGTCCAAAGCCCAACCACCCCTCCGCACCCTCCCCGGGGGATGCCAGCCCTACCCACTCGCGCCCCTGCAAAGGGAGGCGAACGCGGCCGGGGCCGCCCCGCCGCCATGGCCGCTCGCCTGCCGCTGAGCTCCCGCGGCAAAGCGGCCGCGGGCCTTGGGAGCACGGGCAGCTCCCAGCCAGGCCTGGGCACAGCCGGGCCGGCTTCCCGGAGCCCCGGCTCGCACGTACCTGCTGCCGCCGCCGCCGCGCTCCCGGGGCCGGGCCGGGCCGCGCTCCCGCCCGCCCGCCCGCCTTAAAGCGGCAGCGGCGGCAGCGCCGCACAGGCCTGCCTGCAGCTCGGCCGGCTCTCCTTCCCGCCTTGAGGCCGCTCCGATCCCGACCCCGGAACGGTGCCCTGGGCCGGCTCCGCTCCTAGTGCGTTTGAAAGGCTTTCCTGAAAGACGTGCGGCAATGTGAACTGGCCCTGTGTTTAAAAACGTCGATAAAAATCCACGCGGAAAAAGGAGTGATAACACACGTCCCAGTTAAACAGCAGGGAAAATGAAGGGCTTTTTTCCCCCTTTGCACACCAGAACCAGGGCGCTGTCAATCCGGTGTGGCCTAGGGAAAGCTTTCCAGCCTCTTGGAGACAGCAGCAGCTACCGCAGGCAGCGGTCACCGAGAGAGCGCCTAGCCCCGGCTCTGCCCCTCGGGCAAACGGCGCCTCTGTCTTCTCCTCTGCATGTTCCCCTTCCACGGGCTCCATCCCTCCCGTTCATGCTTCTGCTTCTCCAAAGATCCCTTCGTTTCTCTCCCCAGACTCTCTCCGGCGTGGGCAGGAGGGAGGGAGCTTCCCTCACAGCACCGTGTTGTTGCTGTCCCTCAGGAGGGCACAGCTCAGTGGCAGGTAAGACACACCCACACCTACAAACACTGGTGTTTCCTCCTAGGCCTCGAAGTGGCCACATTTTCACATGGCAGAGACCGTGACAGGTGTGGGACAAGGAACCAAACCCACCTGCATCCCCTCCAATTCCCCGGTTTCTGAGCTTCACACAGAGATCCTGTCAAATGGGCTCACCTCCCTCTGACACTCCTGCGACTCGCCAACAGCTCCCACCTAGTCTCTGCCCCATCTTCAGTCCCATCTGCTGGGATTTAGGGAAAATGAGCAGCTTCTAACAAGAGTGACAAATGTGGGGTTCTCTATCTTCCTGGTGGGACAAAGCGTGCCAAGTTTCTCATGCTGCGTTTTTAAAAGGTTCTTGTGCATCACTCGAGGTGATGATTCTGCAGCACTTGGGGTGCCAGGGGCTTAAACCTGGCCATTCCTGAGCCCATGCCCAGGTCTGCCCAAATCTCTGAGGTTACGAGGCCATCTAGTGATCTGTGAGCTTGTTACAATTAAAATGTACTCTCCAGGGTGGGAAAGCTGCTTGTAAACCAGGATCTCTTCTTTAAATGCAGATGGTCCACAGTCTCCTGAGAGAAGGTGACCCCTGGATGCTGAGCTGCAGAGTGACCAGGACCCAGACAGAAGCTGTGTCCTCCTGCCACACGAAGGAGCCCAGAATCCACAGACATGTTAAACTACAGGGATACTTGCATGCCTTTTACTCTTCTGAAGCAGGACCCACACTCAGTCTTTTTAGAAATAATCCCTCAGATTGTATAAACGTGGACCTTTGTGGTTTAAGCCCAAGGAAGGACATTATTTCTTGGAGCCCCTAGGGGAACTGTGAAGTTTCAAAGGTCTTTCAGCAGCTCTTGCTGGTCCTCTCCAAGAAGGGAGATATTGAAAACACTTACCGCACCCAAAATTGAAAATAAAACATGCAATATTTTGTGAAATTAAAATTGTGAATAAAACATGGGGGGTTGTGGCCTCTAGATACTCACCACCATGCTAGGAATAAAGAACTTGGTAACGTTATCAACATCAGCTCAGGATGCCGTGTAAGATATGGCACCAGGATGCTGACAGGTACAGCTCTACCCTGCACATTTTATTTTATGCCTAACATGGTTCTCAGGGAAGCTTTTATGCTTATATCACCAGCCTCCTTGATTGATATTTTAACAAGTATCTTCTCTGATCTAGTTTTTCTGAACTCCTGATACATGATTTTATATAGTAGCTATGTGAACCTCAGTGAAGTCACTGCTGTCTAAATACAGACCAAGATCACACTTAAAAAGGCAGTTAAAAAGGATAGAATCATAAAACCACAGAGTGGTTTAAAGAGCACCTAGTTCCAGCCTCTCAAAGTTGTCTGGCTGCTCCCAGCTGAGAGATTTCTTAGATGAAAAAGGAGGGGTAAAGTCTTTGCTTCCCAGTAACAGTGGCAGGGATGTTAGAAACAGAATTTTTTCTCATTTAATGATAAATAATTAGTTGTGATTGTACAGATTCTTAGCATGACATAAGAAAGCCCCAATACCAGTGAAAGTCGCCATACCTTTTGCAAGAGTCTAGGTGTACCCTTTCAGGATAAGCTTTGTGCTGATTATTTCAACCAAGTATCAAAGCCTGTCATCCATGAGAAAAAGAGTTTAATTTCCAAAGGCTTTTTGCTTTAGATGGCGACATCTTAAGAATTTCAGGTATAATTTCTGGTGTCCTGTACAAACTACCAGAAGTATGCTGGAATTTGCTCTGAGGACAAGGACGTCTTTGATCACCACATAACATCGATTTGGTGTATCACGGAGGAGTGCAACACTTGCAAAATGCAGTTGTAGAGTAGCACACAAGGGACTTCTGCGTGTCCAAGGGAATTAGGGGATTACTGGTTTATGTTACAACTGCCTAAATGTCTGGGGAAACATTGTTTGAGCCAATTAATAACAAAGAAATGGAGCTGCCCAAGGGCAGAGAGGAGGGCAAGGCAGAGAGGAGCTACCTCCACATTAGCATTCCCACAACTCATGAATCTTCACAGATAAAAAGCTTAAACTCAAAGGAAGACAGGCCAGTGGGGGTGATCTCCCCACGTCACTCTTCCTCTTCAGGTGACAAGGTGACAAGACCAACTGCTCCAGTTTGCTGTGGTGAAAAGACCTCAGTAGAAATTCACCAAGGGGAAAATGGATGGATTTAGGATGCTGCTGACTTGTAAAAAGCATTCCAGCAACTCAGTATGAATAGTCAGGAATTTTGCACATCAGAATCAATTTGTGGTTGCCCAGAGACTGTGGAAGCAAGTCATTGTCAGAATGTAGCTGGTGCAAGTAGCTAAGGTAAAATTGAAGCTGAGAGCTCTGGCTAGGTAAGGGAGAGGCAATTCAGTTATTCTGTCATGCCTTCAGCTACAATCCAATTTTAGAAGAACAATACATCTTTTGCAGTTGAAGAATAGGCATCTTAACATAACAACAATCACCTATTACCTGTGATGTGTCTTGAAAGCACTACATGTGCTTTTCATAGTATTACCTTTCCCCAGTCCCTTGCCAGCTGCGTTAGGTTAGGAGTAGGAAGGAGCAGCAGTTAGCAGAGATGAAGGCACCAAGTACTTTCTAGCAGTGGAGGCAAGAAGGGGAAATTGTAAGGTGCTGCTATTTTTCAGAGCAGAGGTGGGGTGATGAAGTGAGGAGAAACTGTATTAATCTTACCATTGTGCTGCTGTAGATTCAGGATTTTGGGCACAGATAATCTGTCCTCTGTGAGAGCCTCGCTGCTAAGAGTGAGACTATGTTGCTAATAGTGAAAGCTATTGCCTCTGAGCTCATTCTTGATTTTGTCTTTTGTCCATGTCTGTTATTGAAATATTCTTGGCCTTAGTTGGCTGGATTTATTCATGTGCAGTCAGACATTAGAGTACATTTTTAGCATGAATGAAGATTGGAAAGATGCACAGGGTCATCTGGCTTGTGCTCCTCTATGGTGTATTTTTGGATACTTGTTTTTCTCTGAAAAATAGAGGGTTTATATTTTCAAGCTGTGTTTTTGAACAGCTGAAGTCTTCTTGAGCTAGTGGGACTTTTGCTCGTATATATCTCATGCAGTAATGACCCTTGGGCTCCTGAGTTCCAGGTCCCAGCAATATTTTGAGATAATCAGCTGAGTAATGGTTGTGGCTGGCTGGCATCAGAACATTTATTTGTTTGGGGGTTTTGTAATTGTTTTAGGCATTTTGTGTGTGTGTTCCTGCAAAGCCCTGAAAGAGCATGGAAGCTGAGTCAATATGGGCAGCCAGGGAAAAAGGCTGCTTAGGCACCATGGAGTGCCTCCAGAGAACAGGTAGCTAAATTTTCCTGAATAACACAAGGAAATTCTTCATGGCCTCATCCCTCCTGACTTCCCGGGACAGTAAAACCCATCCCATCTGTCTTCCGTGTGGCTTTGTCCCACATTGTCTTCATATGTCATATATCAAGGGCAATATGCAAATCTCATTATTTCAGTGTATATTTCAGTCCTTAGCCTTTCCCAGACAGGCAAAAACAGTGTCAAAGACCAGAGCTCAGCCAACACTTAGTCTGGAAAATGAGATCATGACCACCAGCTGAGACCCTAATGCAAGTGATGCTTCCCAGTCTTGACTCTCTGTGTTTCCAGGCAGGCTGGATTCACTACTGTATTTAAACCTCTAATTAATCTTTGACAAATTCTTCTTCTGACTAATTTCTTCTCTTTTCTCCAGGTAGAGTAATTGCTCCATCTTGTTCCAGAAACAAATCCTGAAACCATAGTACCTTTGGTCATCTGATTTTAAGGATCATGCGAACAGCAGCTGGTGCCAAGGGGCAAGGTAAGCAAATCAAGTTTTCAAGGAGGTGCATCAGCTCACAGCAGCTGATTTGCTCTTGCAATTCAAATTTTCTAGTTTTCCACTGCAGAACTTTTCCTTTCACCTTCCACATGGTAGTCTGCAAGAAATTTGGACCCGGGGACAGAGGAAACAACG